AACTCAGTGTAACTGTATTCAGTGACATTTCCTTTTTTTTAAATAGTGTATTTTTTTCATTTTTTTTAAAAGAAGACACAAACAGGAGAAAAAAAAAGACAGTCAACAAATTTAAAAAGAAAAACGGCGTATTCCTATTCTGTCCGCAGTCTATTTTTTCACCGTAGAAGACGTTCGTGTGGCGGCTGTGTCTGCAGGCGCGTGCGGCTCAGCCTGCCCCGTGGCTTGCTTTTTTTTTCTTTTCCTACCGTCTGAAGGTGTGCCTCGCTCAAGAATAGGACCTTTTGCTCCTAGTTTCCTTTCTTCTTCTTTTTTTTAATGCTTTTGTTTGTTTGTTTTTGCTTTGAAATTCAATTCTCAGACATATCAAGGACCGTTCTGAGGGTGGGGCAGTGGGGGGACTTGGGCCCACCAGCGTCGGGTTCGAGCCCACCGGGGTGGGCACTGCCCCAGAGGAGATGGCAGTGACCCCCCCCCCCCAGCCTGAGCGCCCTGTCTCCCACCCCGAGGAGGAGGACCGAACAAAATGGGAGGCTCCCACTTCTTCGGGGAGAGAGAGGCCGTGTGCTGCCCCGGATCAGGGACCCTTCCCCCCTGGGACTACGGGGCAGTTTGGGGGCAGAAACAGAAAGATGAAATCCCCCACCCTCATCCCTGAGCAAGCAAGTTTTCCTCTTTGTTACAAGAGCAGATCTGCCGCTGCTTTCAACACTGTTTATTCAAACGGAAGCAGCTGGGTGGTTTCCCACCTCTGTGTATGTAGATATATCGACTTTGTATTAAAGGAAGGTCGTCTGACCCCGGCCGGTGGTGGAGTCTTTGTCATGACCCTGTCTATCCTGTCTCATCCAGGGGGCAGGCAGAGGCCTGGAGAGCTGATATATTCTCATTCCATTGTGTAAACAGTCTAATGAGGCGTGGGGCCCAGAGAGGTGGTGTTGCTTGTGCAAAGTCACACAGCATCTAAGGGGTCATGTGGGATTTGAACCCAGAACCCAAGCTCTGGCCCTGCAGGGGCTGCCTCATTGGTAATAGTTATTCCCGTGATAATCATGATCACCAATGAGCATCAACCACGGGCCAGCGCTGTGAGATGGGAATCAACCCAATAGATAGATGAGGAAACTGAGGCTCAGAGAGGGGTGGGCACCAACCCAAAGTCACATAATGGTTTGCAGTGGAGCTCAGATTCATATCCCAGCCAGGCTTATCCACAGCCCCCAGAACAGCCAGAGATGGAGTGGAGTCCATGGAGGGAAGCCTTGAGTTGGGAGCACTATTCCTCCCCATGTTCTAGGCCACCCAATGAGTGGGCCCTACTCTGAGCCAGAGTCAGATCCTGGGGGATGGAGGGTGAGCCATTCTGTGTCTACACCCTTGCCAGGTCCCTTCCCTCTCTGACCCAGAGACAGGATGAAAGATTCCCTCTGTTCTCACAGAGATGCTCCAGGGGTGAGAAGAGGGTCTCAGGGCAGGAGTCCAGCCTGGGAAAGAGTGGGCGCAACCCTTTTAGAAATGACAGGATCCTTCAGGCAGTAAGTAAGTGAATAAAGTGATTGCCACCATTAATAAGCTTAGTCAAATAGATGTATCAAGCTGCATATCCCCCAGTGCCAAAATTCTCAAACACATATGGACCATTTATAAAAGCCAGCAGTAGAGAGCTTAATAAATGACAAGAAGCAAGACGGTAAATAAGATAACCTGATCTTGGCCTCAGGAGTAGGTTCTGTAATAGCCTCCCCTGAAAAGGCCTACAATGAGAAATCTTTGAACACATTCCTAAATAAAGCATGAGTTAAAGAAGGAATCAACACAGAAATTACAGTTTTTGAAACTGGAAATTCAAACAGTACATTATGTTATGAAACCTATGGAATGCAGCCAAAGGGGTGCCCAGAGGAAAACTTATAGCCTTGAACACATCAGCGAGAAAACCAATTCTGAAAATAAGTCAACTTTAAAATACTCTGCAAAGTGCAAATCATGTAGAGACACACTCTGACCCTAACATCATCACTTTAACATATTTAAAGCTAAAATACCATGAGGAGAAACAGAACGACAGTGATGCTGGAGACTGAGACTCCAGGAGGAAAAGACCAAGCTTTCAATTCAAATAGCTAGAAGACACTAAATCCATACGGGAAAAGATGCAAGCGGGGTTAACTCTAACTGTACACTTTTGAGGTGGTTCTTTTGCATTAACAAAATCAGACACTGTCTTTGAAAACACCAGAGTAGATAAATCTTAGGCAAGGACATTCAAGAAGAGAGAGAGCACCCAAATTCAGGAAAGGGGCGGGGGGGGGCACATTAACTACAGATGGAGGCTCTTTTTCAAAGTGTGAGGTGAGTCCTGGGGGAGACAAGCAGGAAAGAGCCTAGAGAGGGAGGGGTAGCGGGGCGGGGGGTAGCCAAGCTGTCACGGAAGAGGAATCCCTCACCCTTCCCCTCTGAGACAGTGGGAAGAGCAGGCAGAGAAAAGAGAAGCAGGAAGCAGTGGCACGGAAAGGACTACATTCAGTAGCTCCTGAGTTCTGAGTTCAAGAAGTAGTGGGGGAGGCAATCCTCTTCCTAGTCACAGATTGTGGGGGAGAAAGGACCAAAAAATCAGACTCTAACCCCTAGTCCTACCTAAATTATCCAAGACTATCAACAGGCTACTCTGCCCCCTGAACTCCTACTCAATCCTCAAAGCCCAGTCCTAAAATCTCCTCTAAGAAGGCGTCTCTAACTTCCTTTCTCTGTTCACCGAAACCCATTGAGGCTAAGGTGCCTGAAAAAGATCTACCTTGCTGTTCTTCCTGGAAACCAGAGGATCTTCAGGGAAAGTTAACAGTTGTGTGACCCTCAGCTCTGTGGTTCAGCCCTTGCGATGCTCATGGCTATGGTTGTGGGTAGGTGGTGGCAGATAGGGATCTATCTGAAGACATCCTGGAAGAGGGGTCCCTAAGGAATTGCCTCACCCCATAGACGTGAGCACCAAGACTTCAGCATCTCCAGTTGCCTTGGTCCTGCCACAGGATTTCATAACCTCCATCCTCATTTCCCGAGCACTTACTGTATGCTTGGCTTGCACAATGTCATTTAATCCTTCTGATGATGCACCAATGGAAAGATGAGAAGACTGAGGCTCAGACAGGTCAGGTTTCTTACCCAAGATCACACAGATGGTAAGTACTGGAAGCTGGACGTGGGTCCAAATCTGCCCAGTTCCTACCGCTCCTGCGACAGTGAGGGAGTTGAAGGCATCTGTGTGCTCCTCCTGCCCACACTCCGCATCAGTCCCAAGATGGGAGAGCCCCAGGGCAGAGCCCCACCTCCCACCACCAAGGGCCTGTCGGGGCCAAGGCGTTCTAGTGCTCTGCAAAGTGCAGATCCCCTAAGGACACACTCTGACCCTAACAACATCACTTTAAATTGTTTAAAGCTAAAATATCCATGAGGAGAAACAGAACTACAGTGATGCTGGAGACTGAAACTAACTCAGGAATGAAACGACTAAACTGACAAAATAATAAGGATCTTGAGATAAATAATGCAATAACAGACTTGAGCAAATGTACTTGTGCAGAACTTTGCACCAAACACATAGAGAACATACATTCTGTCCAAACACTTAGAGCCTGTCGCCAAAAATAACCATAAATTAGACCATAAGGAAAAACTTAGCATTCACACTCGCTAGCCACAATGCAATAAAAACGATAAATCAGTGATGGCACGTAGCTCCTCAAATTCACACGGTGGAAGTGTTAATGAGCGAAAGAATACGTAAATTACAAAATATTTAGAACTGAATGATAAGACCACTGCAAATGAAAGCCTCTGGGATGTAACCAAAAATGTACTCGGGTAAATTTAAAATGGTGAGTGCATTTATGGGGGGAGTAAGATCACTGAACATAAGCATATATATAAAGCATATATATAAAACAAGCAGCCAAAGCAGTACCCAGGGAAATCTGTAGCATTAAGTGAATTTATAAGGAAAATGACTGAAAATAAAGCAGTTAAGCTTTCAAGTCAAACATCCACAAAAGGAATAAATAAACCCAAGGAAAGTCAAGGGAAAACATTATTAAGACGTTGAGAATTTAATGAACTGGGAAACTACAGCTAGATCTTGGGAAACACCCATGAAAGATGCAAATCTCTGGCAAGAAGACAGAAGGCACAAATAAACATTAGGGACGACAGAGGAGCGAATAACTCACAAAGGAGATACTTTAAAGGATGAACATAGACTACATATTTACAACTTTCACTGCTAAATGTTTAAGATGATAAAAAAATAGGGGGGAAACCAGAAAATATATCAAAACCAACCAAAGCGTTTAAAAAAGTGAATAATCTTCGAAAACATTGAAATGATGGTCAAAGTTCTCTTCCCCCAAACAAGGCAGCTTCCCAGATGGTTTTTCAGGTGAGTTCTGCTAGACCTTCAAGAAAGAGATGACTTGCATCCTTTATAAACTATGTCAGCTTACAAGGGGGAGAAAGAGGGTGTACTCAAACTATACAAAGATAACCCAAGGGGAAAAAACAAACACATCCCACTTATGTGCCTAGATTCAAAAAGGCTAAGAGAATATCAGGAATGCAAATCCAGCATCTCCTTAAAAGAACAGGACGTTATGACTCAGTGGGGAAGGAGCTGTGGAATGCAAAGACGGTTTCCTGTTAGAAAATCTACTCAAAGTGAGAATGAGGTGCTACCTTGGAGAGCAACCTGACAGCTGTAGCTAGGAAGGAAGGTGAAGATACACACACACTTTGACTCAATAATTCCACTCCTACACACCTTACCTGTCGTGGGCAGGTGTGCCCCAGGGGACACGTACAGGTGTGTCCACAGTGGGGTTATTTGCTTAAACAAAAATGTACAATAGCTTTCTATTATAGACCAAAAAATAAATTTAAAGCCTAGAAACAGTATTTTATTAAAAAATGGAACCAACTTAAATAGACACCGGCAGGAGGATTCTGTGTGGTCATACAACAAAGTAGTGTCCAGCAGTGAACGCGAAGCCACCGGAACTCTGCACCGAAATATAAATGGACCTCAAAGGCACTGAGCAAAACAAGCAGACCTGAGGAAGAAAAGTTAGTGCAACTGCTTTATAGAACATTTTAAAGACACATAAAGCAAATACATATTAGCTAGGGATAAATACATAAGTGGCAAAGATATAAAAACTCATACAGATGACAATACTCCGGATTTAATGCACTCTCTATCAAAATCCCAAGTACCTTTTTTTTTCAGAAATGGCAAAGCTAATTCTCATATTCCTATGGAATTGCAGAGGAATCTGAGTCGTCGAAACAATCTTGAAAATGAACAAAGAAGTTGGAAGACTCACACTTCCCAACTTCAAACCTTACTACGAAGCTACGGTGACCAAAACACCGTGCTAACAGCGTAAGAACAGACGCATGGGTCAACGGAACAGAAATGAGAATCCAGAAGTACACCCACACATCTATGGCTTTCGACACGGGTGCCAAGACCAGTCATCCAGCGAAGGCAGAACAACTCTTCAACAAAGGGTGCTGGGACAACGGGATGGCTACATGCGAAAGAATGAAGCCGAACCCCCATCTCACACCACATATGAAAATTAACTCAGAATGGAGCAAAGACAATCATAAGAGCTAATGCTATAAAACTCTTAACAAAAACTCATCTATAAGCCAACTCAGAGTAACCGCTCCCTCTGGGCAGGAGCAAGGGGAATGCATTCACCACAGGGAACACGGGGACATTCAACTCACGTGTGTGTTTTGTTATACTTTTTAACTTGGGTGTTAAGGTTATGGTGTCCATTATATCATTATGTCACTTTTGTATAAATGAAATAATAAAGTCGATCCACAGAAAAAGGACGAAATATCACCCCAAAGCATTTGATTAAAAAAAAAACCGTTCCATAATTTGGGAAAATGAACTTGACAATGCTGAAAATTTAGAGCGGAAGTTGGCAAAAAAAAATTTTTCAGTTTTGCGGATCAGAAGGTCTTTGTTGCAACCATTCAACTGGGCTTCTATGGCACGCGAGCGGACAGAGACAAAACAAATGGGCATGGCCGTGTCCCAGTAAAACTTCACTTACGAAAACAGGTAGTGAACCGGATTTGGCCATAGTTAGCCAGTCTCTGATCTAGAAACATATCCACTGAATTCAGAACTGAGGCAAGGAAAGTCCATTATAACAATCATTTCATGTGATGCTAGGGGCCCCAGCCAACGCAGCAGGACAAGAAGTGAGGCACAAGCATGGTGGGAAGAAGGGACAGATTTCATTATCACAAGAGAGGTGACTGCCTACTAGACAGCTTGAAAGAATCGTCTTCAATTGTACCATAAGTAGTAAGAAAATCCAACAAAATCCCAGTTACAAAGCCGCCATAAACGTCATTGGCCAATTTCTGAAGTGGGTGCAGCTCAACTGAAAACATTTTTAGCCACGAGTAGTTCTGATCCAATTTCTTACCAACTGCTTAACACTCGTATTTAAACCGCTGCGACCATATACTCACAGGCCAGAAGAGGTAACCGTCTACATAAAGAGGTTCCCCACCTCCCACACTCTGCACTGGAACCCGACTCTCCCCTCCCTTTACCTTTGGCAAAGTGCAAAGTTCGGCGGGCAGAGTTCTTTTTTTTTTTTCCTCTACCTTTTGCAAAGCCAGAGTTAGACTTCTCTCTCTGGGTTACAATTACTTGTTTGAGGGAAGGGAATTTTTTAGAGTCATTCTTTGTATCACCAGGATATGCACATGTATTACCTGGCATAAGTTAGCTATAAAATGTACGTCTCAGAAAACGAGCAAGCAAGGAAGGAAGGAATACTGATGATAAAATTAATGGGTGAAAAAAAATGGATGAAAAACAGGATATTTGTATAGTCTCAAAGCATCTTCACACAAGATACTTTTTAATTACAAAGGGGAAAATTAGTAACCTTACTGTAGAGAAACTTGGCCAACAGGACCTTAGCCAAGTGATTCAAGGTCAAGGTCTCCGGCGATGAGACAACACTGACATCCTGGGTCTCCTGATAGAGAAGAACACAATGTCACTTTTGTGATATTCTTGCCCCAAAATGCCCAACCTTAATTGAATCACGAGTAAACATCAGACAAACTCAGCTTGAAGGACTTTCTACAAAATGACTCAACAGTGGCCTTTCACATGCCCAAGACCATAGAAGACAAAGAATGAGAATCTATCACAGACCAGAGGACACTTAGGAAATGCAATGACTAAATGCAACATGAGGTCCTGGATCGGGTTCTGGACCAGGAAGAGGACTTGAGAGGCAAAACTACTTAAATCTGGGTAAGCTCTGTAAGTCAGTTACCAGCAGTGTACTGATGCTGATTTCCTGGTTTCAGTACGTGTGCTACGGTCATGTCAGGGCTGACGTTAGGAGAGGCTGGGCAAAGGATGCACAGGACCTCTCTGTACTATTTCGGCAACTTGTCTTAAAATTATTTCAAAGTAAAAAGTTACAATATTTTTTTTCAGTCAACTAGTTGGACTACAGCAATAACCAATCAGACACTGTAAATAAAAAAAGATGCTACGTCATCACGGTGGTTGCCGGGGGCTGGGAGGTGGGGAGAATTTCAGACGGACAAGATGGAAAGAGTTACGGGGACGGATGGTGCTGATGGTTGCGCAGCACTGGGAATGTGTTTATTGCCCCTGAGCTATGCCTCTTTTTTTTTGAGCCATACACTTACAGATGGTTGCAATAAATTTTAGGTTATTTTAACACAATAAAAAAAGGAAGATTATAAATGTACCCACCCCCTGAAAAGAAAAGACACTAGATCTCTTGGGGACACAAATGTGATTGTAAATACATAGGAAAGGGAGATGGAAGAGCTACACATCTGAACTGGTGAAGTATGACACTCCTCTCATGGAGAGCTGGGGTCCATGTCCTCTCCCCTTGAATCTGCTTGTGACTGGACCCATAGCGCAGAGGGGAAGTGGGGCTGGGCGGTCCCCAAGGCGGGGTCATAAATGGCTGTCAGCTTCCACCTGTTTCCCTTGAGACACTCGCTTCTTGGGTGCTGCCTCTCAGGATGCTCCCTTGGGTCTCCTCCACATGGTGAGGACGCCCAGGATGCACAGAGAGGCCACACACGGGCGCCCTGGTCTGCAGCCCCAGCTTCCTAGCTGAGCCCCAGACATCATGTCGCAGAAACAAGTCATCCCCACCACACTTGGTCCAAGTGCCTGACCTGCGAGCACAGCAAGATGATCGGTGCCGACAGCACGAGGGCTGGGAGGGAGGTTGTACAGCCACTTAGACTAGGACAAAGGCAATGACGAGGTCAGGATGAGAGACGAGGAAACGAGGACTTTAGTTCTTAAAGCAGTATTTCTGTTTTTATGATGAAAAATGTATTTATATAGTAATTATGACTAAAGATTAATTTTAAAAAATAAAGCCCTTCCATATAACCTTAGGAAGCTCTAGCTCAAACAGACACATGCACCCTAGTGTTCACAGCAGCACCATTTATAACAGCCAGGACACGGAAGCAGCCTAAACGTCCATCAGCAGATGACTGGATAAAGAAAATGTGGTGTTATATACACACAATGGAATATTACTCAGCCATAAAAAAGAATGGAATAATGCCACTTGCAGCAACATGGATGGACCTAGAGATGATCATACTAAGTGAAGTAAGTCAGACAGAGAAAGACAAATATCATATGATATCACTCATATGTAGAATCTAAAAAATGATACAAATGAACTTATGTACAAAATAGAAAGAGACTCAGAAAACAAACGTATGGTTGCCATAGGGGAAAGGGCGGGGAGGGATAAATTCATTTGGGAATTGCAGATACACACTACTATACATAAAATAGATAAACAAGGTCCCACTGTCTAGCACAGGGAACTATATTCAATATTTTGTAATAACCCAGAAAGAAAAAGAATATTTAAAAGACTATATATATGTATAATTGAATCACTATGGTGTAAACCAGAAGCTAATACAACATTATAAATCAACTATACGTCAATGAAAAAATAAAATAAGGCCCTTCCCTCCACTATCAGGTAGTATTGACTTAGGTCATTGTGGGCAGGCAGCAGGGCACACTAGCATGAGGGCACAGGTAAATCTGGTTAACCATGCCATCTGCCCTGGGGGCCCTGTCACAATAATGAAAATTGGCTCCTGTTTATTGTGCGGTGATTATGGTGTTTTTACACTGCTGTGATAAAGTGCTCTTAGCACCCTCATTTTGCAGATGAGAAAAGTGAGGCACAGAGAGGTTAAGCAACTTGCCCAAGGTCACACAGCCTGAAAAATGGCAGAGCCAGGATTGAACTTGTGCCTTCCAGCCCGCGTGTTCACAGTCTGAACAAAGCTTGTGCCAGGAACTCTTTAAGGGTGCACGAGACACAGCCCGTGCCTTCCTGGGTTTGTTGCCGAGCTGGGGACACAGACCCATCAGCAGGACATTTCCGTCCTTCCCTGCTGAGGGGCACACAACGGGCCATTGGCACGCAGGTGAGAGGGCGGCCAGGAAAACCCTCCCAGCGGTCAAGGTGAGTAGGATTTTAATTTCTTCACCGTGATGGAGAAAGGATTCTCCTGGAATAAGACAGCTCGCGTGAGGACCAGTGAGCGAGCACGGCCTGTGAGGACAGCCTGGCAGATGCAGGCTCACCGGCCCCTCATTCAGCTCATCTGTATTGATGTGAGGGGCCCAGGTCACATGGAGGGCCGACAACGCGCCCTCCCCTCCAAAGGACAGTTTGAATGTTCATAGATTATTTCTTTTTCTTGCCCAATTGCTCTGACTAGGACTTCCTGGGCTATGTTGAACCAAGTTGGCAAGAGTGGGCACCTTTGTTTTGTTCTCGATCTTGGAGGAAAAGCTTTCAGCTTTTCAGCACTGCCAACTAAAAACGGGCGCTTGCCAACTGCCTGGACAAGGATTAAGTTTCTGGCCGCTGCAGGCTCTGCCCTTCAACACTCCCTGAGAGGAATTCAGGACGCAGCTCAGGAATGAGCTGCCCTGCTCTGGGAAAACCCGGCAGAACAGGCCTTCAGATAGGTATTTTCAGGAGAAGATTTTATGAGCCCAAAGTCTTGTATCTCCTCCTATCTAGAAGAGCACTAACGTCATTAATGGTGACATCTGCTCCTCGTGGCTAGCGGCAAGCCACAGCTAAAATGCACACTTGACTGCAGGTACCGCCCCCCAAATCATACGTGATACGGACCTTCCCCCAAGTCCCTCGGCGCTGAGATGCTGTCTCTGGGCTGTGGTCCTCATTTTGCCCCCAAATTGAACTTAACTCGCCACTTTCACATTGTGCTTTTTTCCTTTTTTTTTTTTTCAGTCAACAACATTGAGTCTGATGTGAGCTTCTTTTTGAGTTTTAAGAGTTCTTTGTATATTCTAGACAACAGTCCTTTATTAGTAGTGCCTTTTGCAACTATATCCTCCCATATATTTATTTTTCTGACATTCTGTCTCAGACACAGGTGACACCGCTCGTGGCTCTATAAAGCCAGCTTGTGAATCGGAAGAAGTGAGTTGACGAATCAGGAAAGCGCTGCCCAGAATCCCTAACTTTCGGGGGAACGTTCTGCCGGATGAGGTTGGACATGAGGACCAAGCTTGAAAGGAAAACTGTTCTTTTGAAAAATATCTCAAAAGCCATTTTCTTCACCTGCTCGGCCTGTAAGTGCTGAATTCATTAAAATCCAGAAGAAAAAGGGGAAAGGAGGCTGGTGAATTCTAATTTTCTCTTTGCATTTCAATCAGGGCAAACAATGGGCGTCCATCCGCAGCCAGAGGGCTCCAGGAGCCTCCCCCCCGCCACAGGGTCCCTCCAACACAGAGAGCCGTGCTGGACCCTACAAAGGAAAGCTTGAGACTCTGAGCTCTGTGTGTGAGCAGCGGCCTGGCCTCCGCCCTCTCGCCCTTTAGAAAAGGGGCTCCGGCTGAATGAATCTGCTGAATAGCCAGCCTCGCTATCTAGGGGCCCCGCTGACGGCTCGGGTCCTGGGATGACGGCGGTGGCTTAACCCCTTTGCTCCCACCCTCGGAGGCCTCAGAATGGACACTGGGCAGAAAAGCACCAGCGAGCCGGGGCCACTTGTAAGTTTCATCCCATCTCAGAGCACGCGGGCTTTACAAACCAGGGCTGAACTCTCTGCAGGGACTTCCTACAACCATTGTCCTTCCAGGCTTATAACCCATGAGAACCACAGCGAGAAACCCCACACGCCATACGCTAGGGTGGCTAACTTAAAAAATAAATAAATACAGTAACGGGCGGGGATGGGGAGAAACTGGAGCCTTCACACACCACTGGGGCGATCTAAAAAGGCACAGCCACTTAGGAGAACAGTTTGGAAATCCCTCAAAAGGTGAAACAGAACTGTTGCAGGAGGATGAGGCAGGAGAGGGTGGTCAT